GCCTGAAAGGGGATGTTGTCTTCCCTGACTGCTGAGAAAAAAAAAATCTTTCTGAATTAATTTGGACCCCTCCAGACCAGCCTCTAGGACATGTGAGGATGGCAGCAGAGGGCTTCCTACCCTCTTTCTACAATACCCCAGCAGATCACACTTGCTGAATTTTGTTCCAAGTCATTATATCAGCAAGCGATAATCAGCACAGTTTTCTCACGTGGGGAGGTAGGGTCAGAAGGCACAGCGTAGAGACAGAATCATATTAAATTGTGTCAAACTTTTCTTAATGCAGGTAGGTCTGGCTGATACAGCATGCAGCTCTTAGGGCACCCAAGGGCCAATTTTGACAAGATGAATGCCAAGGTATCACTACCTGTATCTCAGTTGCTGGAATAATGATGGTGACTTCCATGGCAGAACACGGTGCAACTCAGGGGTTTGACCCTTCCATTTACATCTGGGAAACCTATTTTTAGAGGGCTAGCTGAACACAAAAGTAGATGTTTGTCTTCCAAGGGAACCAAGTCTTTAATTCTTGACTTGTATTTGGAAATAATAGCTATTACACACAAATCCAACATTGTCTCTCTGTTTTTCAAAAAAACCCCAAAAACATTAAAGGGTCTTTCTTGAGTTGTTGCAGCAAAAATTACAAACAAACAATACCTTCTCTGCCTCCACTTCATGAAGGCCACAAGTAATAAGGATGGCTTTCCATGCAATTTTACTGTCTTTAGTCTTTTAAGTTAGTCTGACTATCGAATAGTACAGCTCAAAGTATTCCCTTCCCTAGGCTAAGAGTTTCTTGGAGATTACTTTTAATTCGTACTTTTTCAGGTTTTTTACATAGGACTCACATGTATAAACAATTTTAGCCCAGATTCAGGGTACTTTTCCTATTTAGAAAAAAAACATCCCACGCAACCAAACAAAACCAAGCCTCAGCCAATTTTTTTTCTAATTTATAATGGAATAAATATTAATAAGAACTCTAGGTTTAAATACAGATAAAAAGAGAAAGCTAAATAAAAAAGAAAACATTCTGGTAAATTTTCAGAGGAGACAACCATTTGTTGGGCATGGCATTATGTATTCTCAGGTTTGGAGCTGAATGCTGCAGGCAATTTGCCCTTCATATTCAATTTCCATTTATTTTGGCTGTAAATCACAAGCAAGCAGGTATCAAGCCATCTGCTTCTATCCTCAGTAAATGCAGTAAACTTGTCTTCAGCTTTGGGGCTAGAACAAGCAATTTTCTTCTGTCCAGTAATAAACACACCTTTAAAATCCATTAGGCAAAAATTGGCCCCATATGCAAAAGATCTAATGAATGAAAGTAATGTGGGGGCAGGGGAAAGAAAAAGGAACAAAACAAATCTGTACAGGGATAAAAATTCAATATTCAATTAAAGGTTATGATAATCTCCAGCACTATAATTTGATCTTTGACAAAGCTAGTTTTGCAAAATGCTAGGAACAGCAAAAATGCCAAATGCTTTTTTTTTTTTTGCAACAAGAAAATTCTCAAGACATTCAAAGTTTGGGCTCAAGCAAATTAAAGGTGTAAGAAAGCCTTATGCAAAGCCTATTCACATTTCTCAAATTTTCAGAGATGAGACAATGATCCAACTGTGACAGTCTGTGTCTTGCTGGTCTTCTAGAGAACCAACACGAATAATAATCCAGATTGAGGGAAGACTGTACTCAAAACCTCTAACTGCTCAAAATAGTTTAGCTAGTATTTAATTTTTAAAATGAATTTTTAAAAGACTTGAAGGCTTGTGAGCACAGTAGATGGAAAAGGAAAAGGCTATCCATCTCCTCTAGTTTACACCAACAAGAGCAGAGTTCAGGCAGCTGCAAATATATGTAATCACTACAGGAGCCCTGGTTGAGTGGAACTTTTCTGAAGCTGTCAGCCTGGGAGTCAGGATTAATCAACTGCATTGTAGGGTTAGGATGCTTCACAACATCCCCTTAATGGGGAAGGGGGATGGAAAACCTGTAGCTTAGGGCTGATCCACAGTGTAATGGAATACATCTAAATTACTTCAGGGGCATTTGGACCAGGCTCTCAATGCCAAGACTTGCTCCTACCTTTCCAAAAGAAAAAGCACCCTTGGTTTTTTTTTTTTTGGTGCCATTAATTTTGACAGGGCACTTGGATAAAGTTACTGCTAGCTGTCAACAGGGGTCAGTAATCAGATGCTAATAAACCCACCCGCTGTACATATTCAGCGAGACAGTCGAGAATGGACGAGACAGCGAATGGACGAGACAGTCCATTCCAGCTCCTACATTTGAGTACATAACCTGAAGGCATCCAGACTGATGTTAAGGGGAGCACAACCCACTCTTCTCTGCTATCAGTTCTGCAAGAAACCAACCTGGGTGCCTGAGTGAGAAGGATGCTGTGATGTGCTACAAGCACTTTGTGGAGGACATCTGCTGTGCTGTGTTGCCACACATTTGTGCAGACTCAAGAGCATTTGTATTTGATTACTATAATTTGACAATGTATTTTTTTTACACATTCCAGTACTGCCTGTTTAAAGCTGGAAATGCTATAAATCAACCCAGAAAGCATTTCTCTTTGAGTTGTTTTGGAACAGGTAAGAATAAAGAGCAATATGCCAGGAGGACTGAACACCTTGAGATGAGCATGAAGGAACTCCTGTTTTAAGTATGTCATTTAACTTCCAAAGGGTTGAGAAAAGCCTTGAGAGGAGGGATGAGCTGTCAGGAAGCTACCAACCTCCACATTTGAACATAACTGAGCCCCCAGTAACGTGCTGACACGATCTCACCAAAACATTAGGGGCTTTTGAGGATGCAAGGTCCCAAGACAAATTAGAAAATTGCAAATAAAGGCACTGCCAGCACACAGGCTGAATACAAAGAATGAAATTTGGAAACCCTACAGGAGACTTGGTGCTTTCTTTACTAACCACAGTGGAAATATCCTTGTCCACTTCAGTATGATACACAAAAATACAAAGACAGGCAACTTGTGTGTATTACATGAAAAGGTTGCAAGCCCACAGAATACTTGTCTTTGTAAGCTTTGAAGGCACAATACCCCAAAACCTGGGAGAGGGAATATTAAAACACCGGGGTGTGATTTGACCTTCTCTAAATTTTACTGAGCATCATTTTAAGATACTAAAGGTGTTCCTAAGCAACCGGAAAAAAGTCTTGCTACTGTCTCCAGTGTTCAAAAAAGAGAGACTGAGCACAAGGGAGATTAGTGTTAGCCTCCTTACCATCAGTTCCCCTCTTCAGATTATAAAATCTTGCCATTACAGCCCAGGACACTTTGGGGATCACAAAAGTGGAAATCCAAATACTCGTTCCAGCTTCATACTACAGACAATAAAACCACTTCTGTCTTAACAGGTTGATGCATGGGGTAGCCCGAAGAAAGCTTGACCAGATTATGCACCTTTACTTTCACAAGGTAGAGACATACTCCAAATTTTCCCACAAATATTCTTAATTGTGAATTTACCAACAGAATTTCACTACCATATCTACCTTGCAATAAAGCATTTAAAAATACTTTTACAGAAACAAAATTGTTCAGAACAAATGTACCATATATAAAATTTGCTTATTCACTGTCATCAGTTCTGCCACATTCATATCACGCAGAGGAGGGAAAATCCTTTTTAAAGAAAGGATTGTATAAAATTGACAGAATTCCTCCCACCTTTGCATGTTGCTTTCTGGTAAGCTTTATGGACTGTTGTGTTAAATATGCTCTTTTTGATGCAACTCCACGTTGCTTTTCACAAATTGTGAAATTAAAGCTTCAACAATGACAGGAAGGCTATTTTTACTAGGAGTAGCAGACAGAGAATAAATAGTACTTCAACACAGACTTTCAGGGCTTGTACTTACTTAACATAGTTTTAAAAGCAGTTCTTTCTGTGGCACAAGCTTATTTTTAATCTCCTTTATTGATTTGCTTCCCTAACAGCAGTGAGCCCAAGCAACAGTGTAAGATACATCACAAAAGACCAGATTTTAACACATAACCTGAGCAAAAGTTGATTAACTTTGTAGAGATCAGTTAATCTATTATCCACTTTCTATTAGATACCCATCTAATAGATAGACATCTATTAATTATCAGTTTTTAAAGTTCTGATTCATAGATCCCTTGCAGACAATCTGTAGGCATTTGTGGAAGCATTGGCCCAGAGGGTCAGCAAAGGAAAGTGCAGACAAAAGGTAGATTTTACTTCAAATGTATCTTTTGACAAAGGTGATAGACTCTGGCCGTTGTTGCAGTTTCTCTCATCCTTTCAGGGCGACTAGTTAATTTTACTTTAAAAGCATGATCTTTCAAGCTGAAGAATAATGAAAACATCAGTTCAGTGACCACGTGAACATCATAAAATTTGATTAAATCTGTGCATTTGAGAATCATGTTTAAAGAATACAGCACTTAGTAACTAATATCACCCCTAGGCTTGCATCCCTCAGTATGTGACACTTGATAAATTTTGTAAGCCCCTATATCTTTGGGGACAAAGCTAAAATAATTTCTGAGAGATACTCTTGGCCAAACTTATTGCTGGCGTAGTGCCAGGGAAATCCATCAGAATAGATCTGATTTGCAAGAACATTAATTGCAAAATCTTTCAGACATTTCAATTCCCCCCCTAAAGCCATCTGTACAAAAGACGCTTTATTTCTTAGAAGAAAAACACAACTGAAAACTTTTGTAAATATATCTCTAATTTTAATTCCTCTCAGATTTAGGAGCTTCATGATACCTAAAAAGAAAGCTGTCACAAAAATACAATGGCAGGAAAGTTTTTTCACAGAACACATGTAACTCAACTACCAGTTAGTACCTTCTTTTCCTCCAACACACAGTCTTTCAATCACTGCAGTGGAAAAAAAAAAAAAAAAAGCATCCAGCTACTGACAGCTAAGCTTTTGCTCACAAAACACCCCACAAATGTGACAAGTCTATCCAAGAAAGCCAAAGAACTTACCTCCCACAGCACAAACACAGAGTACAGCTAAGAAAAAGAAGGCAATTCCCAGGAGCTTCATGCTTGGTGGTTGTGGTGGTAGTGGTGGTAATGCTGTCAGCCCTCCCTTACACAGCTGGGCAGGGAGTGCTCTCTCACTCTGGGGCAGGCCTTAATTACTCCATGGAAAAAGGTGTGTAGAGACTGTGCCTAGTCACTGCCCATTCCTGCTTATTTCGGGGACTTTGATAAAGAACAGGAGGAAACACAACATACTCCCTCTGGGAGTTCAGTACAGAGGAGATTTATTGTTTCAGTTCTTACAGGAACTCCTTTTCTTTGGCAGTGAACTGTGTTTTTGTTAATACGTTATTTTGTTCTTCTTCGGTCACGAGGTCAGGAAGGTTTCTGAACAGAGGCAAATCTTTCCTTAGAATATGCTATACATCACCAGCTTTCATACTATAGTTTGTGATACTTTTAAAGGGGACATTTATGAGAAGTGAGGGAGCCCAGGCAGTGGGGCATAACACAGAGGAGCAAAACAAGCAACAAGAACCCTCATCTGTCTTGTTTTTGGGGTGCATAAAGTGGCCTTGGTGAAAATCATAGCTGCTTCATGTTAAAGGTAGAGAGAGAATGCCTCCCTGAGAGAGCTGCCATCCTGAAACCAATAGGATGCAAGGGGCCACCAGAATAGGGCAAGGAAATAACTCCAGTAAGGTGCCCCAGCAGGGAGAGGCTCTGGGCTCCTCAGATTTAGAGCTCGGGTGTGGGTTTTTTTCTTTAAATGGAAATGGATCCTCTTTATTTTTTTATTTTTTAAAAAATGTCAAAAGTTGAAATTATGGAAAGGTTTTTTTATTCTTCTGTATAGGTACTTGCTGGGCCATGGGATGGGAATACAGTCCCCAAAGCAAGCCTCTTACCTGGGCTGTCTAATCAGCCACCACAGAATTGCTCTCTCCTCCTCAGGACCCACTGACCTGGGAAACTTTGGTATCCCTCCTTCTCACAGCCTTTCTCCAATTTCCGTGAAAGAAATCTGAGCAGAGTTCTAGAGATAAAGGCTATCAAAGCATGTTCTTGTACTACTCTTGTGCTCTGTGCCTTAACGATTCAAGGCAGCTAGTGGCATTTAATCACAAAACTTCAACCACAATGAGAGTGCAGTGCAGTATGTTGGCTCTTCTCCCTCTTTGTCATCTCTCAGGAAAAATTGGTGGAAAAATTGACAAACAGCCTGACTCATTAAATAGTCAACTCTACTTATTTCAGTACTCAAGATTTACTTTTTTTTTCTTCATGACTTTTTCTCACTGTATGGGGAAGTTTTGGAATGGCTTCACATGCAGGAACTCCCATGAGCTAAGCCACAGGGCTTCCAACCACAGTGCAGTTTTATTCGTGCGATGAGGAAAACGGTAGTAGCTCAGTATCATGTGTGGAATCATAATTGTTTAGGTTGGAAAATACCTTTAAGAAGATCACTAAGTCCAACCACTAACTTAGCACTGCCAAGTCCACCACTAAACCATGTCCCTAAATGCCACATCTGCACATCTAAATAACTCCAAGAATGGAGAATCAACCACTTCCCTGGGAAGTCCATTCCAGTGCTTGACAACCCTCTCTGTGAGGAAATTTTTCCTCATATCTAACCTGAACCTCCCCTGGAGCAACTTGAGAACACTTCCTCTTGTCCTCTCCCCTGTTAATTGGGAGAAGAGATCGACACAGCTTTTGTTTGAAGAAACCACGCTGCTATATCTTAAGACTATGACACATCCTTTGCCTATTGCAGGTGATAGAGACTGGTGCTCAACAGAAATCTGATGGTAGACAATGAATTGCTGGCACTTCATTTGGACAAGCTTATGTATTTGCATCCATGAGAGATGCAAACATGTAAGTTCTTCTTAGCAAGATTGTATTTTCACCATTATTGAAAAAGAACAAACTTCACCGAGAAAGTGGTGGGCCACACAATGACACCTTTGTCAAGTTAATTGGGGCATATGGCAGAGAGTTAGCTCCAGTGCTCTGTTTTTATGCTAGTTTTGTGCTGCCATAGGACCTGAAGTTAAAAGGGGCTAGAAAAGCAATAACTACTGTAGCAGAAAGAAAGGGAAAGAAAGACAAAGGGACAGAGAGTCCTAAGGCAACTTACTGCCTCCCTGAAGCATTAGAAGTACCTCCCTCTGAGATACTCACTAACATCAGTTTGAAAGGAAACTAACTTTCACTGGATCAAACTTGGATAGCAGCAGCAGCAGTATGCACAGTGAGAAATAATAGGAATAGCAGAGGAACAGCTCAAATAACTCACTAAAAGAAAAACTCTGGCTAAAGCTGAGTTGTAGTTGTAGCTTCTGACTTGGATTATCTGAGATGCAGAAGAGATTTTCACAACTCTCATCAATGGAAACAGATATTTTGCTTTAAAAGGAAATAATTTAATCTTTTAAAAACTTGCAGAGGTCTTCACAGCAAAAGAATATTCCTCTATTTGTTCACTGAACAGAAATCTTCTCTTTTCGTTCCTACTGGCAAATAAGTTTTTCTTTATTGAATAAATGTTTTCCTTTCTTTCCTCAAACCAAGAAACTTAGCTTCAGTGCCAACATGTGCTTTGTTTCATAAAGAGAAATTTGGTCATCGGTACTGTTGCCAACTCTGGTATTGCTGCCAGTGCTGGAATATCTGGAGTTTCACTTAAAGGCCCTTAAAAAGTGACTGTGTGGCAGTCTGAGTTTTCACGATTTTTCAAGTAAAAATTTAGCTCTCCTAGTTGCAGAAGAAAAGAGCACTCTAGAGAATGAAAGGACTCTCTGTTTTAAAACACCATTATTTTGTAGGGTTGGGATAGCTTGAGTTATACATTTGTTTTTGCCAGTGTGGTATTTCATTATTAAAGGGAAACCATTTACTGCCATGGTGGATTTGCAGCTACAGCTTTATTGGTCTCAGGCTGTATTTATATTTATATGTTCTTTCCTGGTTCACGTTGCTTGGAGCAAAACATTGCCTTTTTATGCACAGTTTTCCTAGGAGGTTCAAACAATCCCCATCAGATTTAGAGAATGTAAAAATTTTACGTATTTTTCAATATTCTTGAAGCACCACTGCATAAAACAGGTAATAACATGGACAGCTATGTTACCTTGCTGTGGGCTGCTGACAATTTCCAATATGGGTGTGAAGAGTCAATTTGTCAAAGTCTTTACAAAAGCAAAAATAAAAAGATTAAAAAAATAATGAGTCTTTGGTGTTTTACTAAAGTGAAGAAACAAACACACCAACTAAATTTTACAACCTTTCCCACTGACACTTGCTATCCTTTCCACTGACAATTATTTTAACTCTTATAGCAGAATGATAGAAGAAGAGCAAGCTGTCTCAAACTCTATTGTTTTTCTCCATCTGTACTTCAGCAATACCTTTAAAGCAGTATTTTATCAGAAATTACATATGACTTACCTGTACATTTAGCTGTACTTCCATAAACAGGGTAAATTTGCATTGAAAAATGCTGTTGTAACAGTGCAGAAATACATTGCTTAGTTATGCTTTATATTCTTTTTCAAATTGTTTTTTAAAGTACTTAGGTTTTACTCTATTACATATATTAAAATTTTAATATAAAGTAGAATTCCAAAGAACTTGAATTTAGCAGCAGAAAACCAAGATATTTTGATGGTTATGTATAGAAGTTACTCTAAAAATTAATGCTGTGGGACACATTAAAATACGGATATTTTGTTCTGTATTTTTTATGGAAGCATTGGAACATCTCATGGACTAGAAATATCAGTGTCCAAACCTTCTGCACGAAATAATATTAAAAATATGAAAGATCGGGCTCATAAATGTATTCAATTGCTTAAAAAAACCAAGACAGGGACCTTTACTTTGAAGGATGGAACTGCTTAAATCTCATTGATTTGATTCAGAGCTAGCTGCTAATGTGAAAAATTCCACTGAATCTCTAAGTGCCTAGATACCTTTATGTAGACACTAAAGACCGAAAGGTGTTTAGTCTGGGGTTTTTGTTTGGTTTTTTTTTTTTCTTCCAAAAGATATTTTCAAGGCCAATAGAGTTACTGCGTCTCTGGCTACAAGAGGATTGTTTATTTGCATTACCAACAGATTGTAGCAATATCCATTACTGCAGAGCATGTTTTTCCTATTCTTACATACCTGGAATTTTACTGATATACTTCAGGGACTCAAAAACAAGTTTGAAGGATCTGAGTCGATTGTTTATTCACTTGCAAATGATACAAGTGGACCATATTCATAGAAATGTATTTGCCACTCAACTAGAGTGTCAGATTTCAAAGGATTGTTGTATGTTTGAAATATTCAGAAGGTATACATCACTACTGAAAGGGTGCAGCAGCCTTACACTCCTGAGCTACCTCTGTCCCTCTCTTTCCCACTGTACACTCCCACTGCTGCAATCAGAACACAAGACAGAAGGAGGGCTCTGCACTTACATGCTCCATGTTCCTGTTACAAAAACTGTATTTCCATTCCAAGCCACAGTTTATTTCAGCATCTCACGAGTCTTAGGTATCAATAAAGACAGTCTCATTTCTGTGCTCAGTTGTTATATCCTAATCTAGTAGAAAACGTGTTTTAATGGAAGGGACCAATTTGCCATATACCTCATGACTTGGTTCACTGGCTTCAGGAGTTACTCAGTTACTCAGCAGTTATGCACTTGAAAAGCTGTTTTTGTTGACAAATCACCATGTGGTTTTCCCTTGACTTTGTGAGCTCCGTGCTTGGAGTGGCAATGTGCTGCTTAACAGCCAAGGTGCTTCTAAGGACACCACTCTAGGTCCGTTCCTTCTCTCTTGGTGAGCTACTGATGTATAGATATTTTGATCTTGTTAGTCTGAGAGAAGATTAAGTGTAACTACAGTAGCCGAGAGAAGAAAGTTATAGAGGCACAAGTACTGCTGTCTCAAGCCATATTTCATGCTTATGTATGGGCAGTCAGAGGAGCTGGAAGAGAGACACCATAAACAGTTATTCCAGGGATACAAAAAGAAAAAGTGGGTTTGCAAACCTAGAGAAAGGAACTTCATGTCATGTAAAGACTCACACGGAATGTGTTTATAGGCTCTGCATCCTGCCCTGAACTAATGAAATG